ACGAGAAATTCAAAGTACCGCGTACAAAAAGTCCCCCAAACTACCGAGGTCGCCGATAGACCGGACAAGACAAATGTACGCAGAAGTTCCCCAAAAAAATAGAACTCAAGTAACTAGAGGCAGCAACGGACACAGCAAATTTTAGTCTGCGCTGGCACGCTCTATAATTAGTATAAATTTAGCATCACGAACTATTTTGCGCTTCCGGGGGCACGCTAAGGCTGTTTGTTCACCGCGGCCGTCGCCATGACGTTAGATTTCACTCACACAAACAGTGGCCAAATTCAATGATATTAAGAACATCTTCAAAGTGCTACCGCTCGGATCTTGGAATATTAAACCGCGAAGAAATTAATAGATCTGGCCCACCATAACGACGAACATATATGCCATCATTGCATCTTGTTCATGTTCCTAATGAGACAAAGTACCACTGTGACCACGATTAGCTGCATCTCCATTCAATTACATCACGTAAATACTCTTTGAATGCAGTTTAGCTTTGTTCAACCGAATGAAAGTTAAGCGTTCCGTTTCGAATTTAACGCAAGCGTCGAAATCATTTGGTTTCGTCGCTTGTAGGTACTGTAACGCCCGTAGCGTTGCGGCCTCCTTGCTTGTATAAACTCTTTGCTTATGCAATGTCTACCTTTTGTTTCATATCAAATATTCTGAGAAATAAAATTAATTCACAGACTCAAATAGTTGATAGAAAGATATTTACATTTTCTCTAAATTTAAATAAAAAAAAAACAGAGCATTATCATTTATAGCTGTAGAAAACCTGCTTCCCCAGGACTTTCATTCAGGTTAAGCCCTACAGTACTTAGTTATTGGCATTTTGATGAATTATCAAACAATAATTATTCGCGATAAGTTATCGAGCGGACCTGCTTAGCAGTTTTCTCATATCTGATTTAAAGACAATAAGAATTTGTATCTTAGAAGAAAAATTCACGCCCGTATTCCCCGAGGGAGTGGAGGGAGCCGTGTCATCACTAAGTTGTCGAAGGTTACTTTATCCTATTTAAAAGGGGTTACGAATGGTTTTAGCTCATTTTCTCCTTGACCCTTGACCCTTACGACTTACTGGGAAATTAAGTGTGGTTTTATTTTTTGGAAACCAAAACCAAATGCAGTAAGTAACTAAGTTTACGTCATGTTGAAATTAAAATCATGATAGTGATTCTTGACATATTTCTGTCTCCTTATCAAAACATAAGCATCTGTCTTTTTAGATGTATGTATGCTATTTTCCCGCAATTTTTGTTACATTTCTTTTTAATTAAAGTATATCGCTGATTTGAAGTGAATGCCGACCAAATAAACTCAGCTAAATAATACGTGTCGTGAAGTGAGTTGTCAATTGCGAAACAATGCGATATAACCAATTTTATTTCATTTTTTTTTATACAAACCTTGTCTTAATGATAACGAAAACAACGAAACAAAATATCCTATTTATTGGAGTCGTTCTGCATTGATGCGTATACATAAATACTTTTCGACGATTGATTTTATATATATATATATATATATAGATAAACCAAAAACTTTTGTATTTTAATTTTAAGCATTTAACTCCTAAATTGTTTACCTAAACAAAATGTTACTAGAAAACCTCCGTGGTCGAGTGATTTGTACCCCGGGTTTTATGGTGTCGCACTCTAGAGATCCCGGGTTCAAATCCCGGTGGGGGCAGATGTTTGTGTGATGAATACGAGCATTTGTACTCCAGTCATGGATGTTTAATATGTATTTCTATATAAATATAATTATATATGTACTTTATATGTATTCTATCTGTTACCCTAGTATCTCATAACACAAGCCTTACAGTGCTTACTTTGGGGCTAGGCTAAATAGGAGTGTTGGAAATATTTATTTATTATTTATTTATAAAAATGTCTCTCCACGCGTTCCAGGCATCTGACAGGATTCAAACCTGCAACTTTCACCCGCACAGGGGGCGTAGGTAAACCAAAAGTCATAAGTAGTCCATAGCATAAGCTTGCCAACTAAAGAAGAAATCCAACGGTGTGAAGCTTTGCGTGCAGTAAATACTAATTACCAAAGTCAGTGTTAAACACATGTTCGAACTGATATAATTTCAAAACCTGTGATGCCGTGAGAAATTATAATAAAGGTCGTATAATTATTCATCTATGCGTGACAGACAGATATGAACACAACCAAGTTTAAATTAATGCCACCATATTTTATAAATATGACAACAGAAAATGTGTTAATTATAAATAGCGTTGAATGGCCAAATTATTTTTGTGTGTTCATCAAAGCGTTTAACTCGCACAAAATAATTATATTTTTTGAGTAAAATAACAAGCAAAATTTCTAGGTACCATTTCTCTCAGTTTCGCGACTAGACATAAAGAACTACAAAAAAGTTTAAGCAACATGCATCATTTACGCTAACTGAAAATTTTATCAGTTAATATTTTTTATTATATTTATGAAATGTACAATTGATTCAAATGTTTTCTTGCTTTAGTAACTAATAAATCAAATTGGTTATAATCCACCAAAGAATATAAGTACCCCCCCTCCCCCCGGGGTAAATCACCTATTCACTTCGGGGGTAACAAATAACTGAATTATTTGGTCAAATCTAAATAATAAAAAAATACAGTACACCTCGCAGTAATGCACGTGGCATGCGGTCCTTCTTGCTAGCGAGACCGTGGGGTGCTGAGAGTTCCCACTCTCAGCACCCCACGGTCTCGCTAGGCTAGGCTGGGCGAGATTTTCTCCTGATGATGATTTGCTTGTTTTATTTGTTTTGATAATATTTTTAAGTCGGGGTTAAATCTGTTTTCCTAATAGGTTACAGGGGTAGCAGCAGTATTGAAAAGGTTAGGAAATACTGCTATAGACGTATGGTAGACGACTTAAGCTATCACTCGTTGCCTACTCTGACCCCATCCCTTACCCCGTGCAGCCCCCACGACAACGGCTAACTAGAGCCACGGGAAGTACCCTGTAGGTTTTGATTCCCGTGCGAGTTTCGAAAATTTGCGGCATAAACGGCTGCATCTTTTGATTGCTTTGGCTCAGAAGTTTGATTTTTTCACAGCTCCAAGGGACAGTAGACATAAGATATGAATTTCAGTTTGATACCTCCACGCGGTTCTGTGAAAAACGGTCTTGACAGACGGACGGACGGATGGACGGACATCAAAGTGATACTATAAGGGTGCCGTTTTTTTTCTTTTGAGGTACGGAACCCTAAAAACGACTTCATAAAAAAAACCACTAAAGAGTAAGAAAAAATGCATTCTTTATTACATGTACATTAAAAGTCAAATTAGAATTTGGTGTCAGTACTGTGCATTTTAAAGTCAAATTAGAATTTGGAGTCATTTACTGCTTGGGTTGACATGGCACCTACTCCACATGACTGACTTGACTTTAAATGTTTTTTTTATCTCTTTAGTGCTTTCGCTTTTATGAAGTCGGTTTTTATTTTTTGTCAAAAACACAGTTTTATTTTTCACTTTTTATAAGCTAGAGCAACATAAACTTACTAAAGATAGATGTCTGACCTGCAATCTCTCTTTCATATTTCGTAAAATAACCAATAAAGATAATCATCATCATCAGCCTATTAATGTCCCCACTGCTGGGGCACAGGCCTTCCCTATGGATAGAACAGGGAGATTGGGCCGTGACCCACCACGCGGGCCCAGTGCGGATTGGTGGGTGCTAACGACTGCAGATGCAACCGGGACCAACGGCTTAACGTGCCTTCCGAAGCACGGAGGAGCTCGAGATAGTAAATTTTTGGTCACCCATCCAATGACCGACCGCTGCGAAAGTTGCTTAATTTCAACGATCGCAGCCGAACGCGCTAACCAGTTGCGCCATCGAGCTCCTCATAAAGATAATAATAAATAATAATAAATATTTTCAACACACACACCAATTAGCCTAGCCCCAAAGTAAGGCTTGTGTTATGGGATACTAGGGTAACGGATAGAATACATATACAGTACATATATAAGTATATTTATATAGAAATCCATATAATATATATAATAATAATATGTACTGTTCGTGTTTAGAGTTTCAATGTTTATCTCCAAAAGTTTTTATCAGATCTTCACGCAAATAATGTGGGACCATGTCGCTGACAAACACTTCCAAACAAAAAAGAATCATCAAAATCAGTCCACAAACCTTGCGCGAAAAGCAATAAAAATAATTATGATTGTATAATGACGAATTGAGAACCTTCTCCTTTCGTAATTAGGTTAAAAAGTGGCTGTGTATGGGGCATTTTCAATTTTTTATATTATATACAGAAGATACAAATTTTACTTTTTAATATGGCTTTGGACAAGGGTGGAGCTGGATAGCGGCTAGCGCATTCGGCCTGCGGTCGTGAAAGTTAAGCAACTTTCACAATGGTCGGTCACTGGATGGGTGACCAAAAAAAATATATCACAAGGTCTCGGCTGCATTTGTAGTTGTTAGCATCCACCAAGCAAGCATAGTTAATTTTGCTATTATTAATAATTAGTAACGAGACTTAAGATCCTGAGAGTTTTTTTTTACATTCTATTAATTATAATTGTTTTGTAAACCCTGATAACTTTCAAAATGTGTAATTTCGGATCCTCGTTTAACATTCATTGAATTGAATATGTCTCTGCATTTTTTTACATGAAATCATAAAAGACTAACCACTCTCTGATAATTATTTTCCTTAGCAACAGCTCGGCAACGCAATAGTAGGTACCCATGAAGCAAAAAGGCTGGACCAAACTTGGGCGGGGTATTAAAAAAATATACCAGCCACGAAGTAAATTAATCACATTTCCACGAAAACCCTGCGTCGTAATTACTGGGTCCAATTACGTAATCTGTAACAGCCATCGTGCGATTCAATTGGAACATTGAAAAAAAAACGGGCATCTCCTAGAACGAATCGGTATAACTGAGTTATAAGGGTCCAATAGATACAAAAAGAACGGCGGGCATACCTGGGGGTCGTTTTTGAGTCGCGTCACGTAGTCTACACTGGCATTCGGTGATCTTTTGCTAACGTGCGGGTGGGACAGCAGGAAGAAATGTCTCAGGTTGCCGATCTGTAACAAAAAAAAAACACGCCCTCAATTAAAGCCGTTCGCTTGCCAAAGTCTCTCAAGCACTCTCGTTTCGAGGGCACAAAAAAGGCGTTTTGTATTTTAAACCTTGTGCAACGGTGAAAAGGTGGCGAATTCGCGCAGTGCTGCGGGACCGTTTTACCCGAGAGATTTGGCTGCTAGTGACATAATTTACACTTCAAGAGCATTTTTGCGCTATTCGGTTCAGGGGTGAAGTTGAAGAGACAAATATAAAACCTTAAATCAGCCTCAGGAGTTTTTGCACTCTCTCTGTAGTGAAAGTGTAGCGTCCTAAGTGTTCATTAGAATTTCATCAAAATATTAAATCTCTATCACAACATCTAAATAATTTTCGATTGAAGTTTACACAAATCTTTAGGTAGTTACTTTACCTAAAGATTACGAAGTAAACAATGCATCGGTCGTGTTTGCCTTTATCTTGTTCGTCATTAGGCAATTTCTACAGTTTTTACAAACAATTATAATTATTGTAATGATAAATAATCCCTTAATAATTATTTCAAGCTCCCTTAAAGAAAACTCTAGATTATTAACGAAAAATTCACTTCAATCACTTTTTAATTAGGTCCATATAATAAGGTATAGAGGACATAATACAATTATGTTTATGATTAATTATATTATCATGCCAGTTTATTAGACCCAGCCAGTTTAACAATTTATAGTCTCATTAATTATATGTAAAAAGATTGGAAGGAATCATTAAAGACTTAATTAGAAAATGATGCGCGGAAAGGAGGCTTAATATATATTCTATAGAGGTACTTATTTTAATAAAATTATTATAATGATTCAATGAATAGGTACATACATGTTAAACTGCTGTTGAAGCATTAGAATTTAATTAAGTGCTGGCAATGAAAATATGACGGAATGCCATGAATATGACTATAATAGAGTGTGAGGACGAGAAATACCTTTGATAATTGAAATTGCGCCACTGCGCGAATGACGTGGTCTTTGTAATTAAGTCCGTTGGTGAAATTCTAGTAGCACTTAATTCAAGAGAGATACGCAGTTTGGGCTTTATCGATGCCCTGAGACCATCGCCGAATAGAAAAAGACATACAAATAACACTGTATTGTGTTTTCACGATCCTTTGGTTAATGATATTATTGCTTGAAATCAGTGGTACAGGCAGAGGTGTTATAGCCGCCATACACGGGTAGCTTGAAGCAGTCGGGATAGACTGCAGTTGCGACAACTGCTTGAACGGTTGGGAGCTCGGTGAAAAAGCAGCTTCAATCTTTTGACACTGACTGCTCCAGCAGTCTGTGTATGTTGATCACTGGCTAACTGCTCGATAAGTCCGTCTGTGGCCGCTCTTAGATGCAGGCTGGGAATATAGGGATATTTCCGAAGATTTTCTTTATTTATATATATTGGTCCGAGCAAATGAGTCCACCCCACCTGATGATAAGTGACGTTCAATTCCAGTTACATGATGCAGCAGTTTTACCTTTTTTTTTCGCTGATAGGGAGAAAAAATGCATTATTTTCACGACAATGACCAACGCCGCGGTGGTTTGCTGTTAACAAACCCCCGCAACGCAGGTAATTGCGTGGCGCATTCGGAAAGCGGCCAGCAGCCCGACGGCTACTAATTGGTGCAGGTATACTTTGACGTGCGCTCACGCAAGCGTGGCAGACGTCAAACCACCCTGCATCCGACCAGCAGCCCGGCCCGCACCCGCTCCAGCCGATCCTGGGCTTCTCTGTTTACAGCGTCACCTGACTAGTCCCACGGACCGCAGTCCGAGTGGCTAGTTAACCGACCTGCTCCCCATACACACCAGGTAAACCAACTCTTCGATCTACCCCTCACCCTCCAGACGTAACTGCGGGATCCAGTTATGAGATACCGCTAGTCACGCCTGGGTTCCTACCCTTCTCCCTGCTTAAACACTTTTCTTTGCATGCCTAATTCACCTAGGCTTATTATATCATCTCAGATTTTGTTTAGCTATTCAACACAAGCCCCGCTTTTCTCAGACTAACTGAAACTTGTAAATATTGTTGTTTTGCTTATACATTGTGCTTAGAAACGCGGGCGCTTCCAAAACTTCTCGATGGCGTATATTTGGAACACCAAACTGCTATAGAAACTCACCGAATTATTCAGTTCCAGTACTAATTAGATTCTCTGGACCAAGTTTCCGAACTTCGCAGTCGTATGTCTGGAATCTGAAATTGTTATCTGGGCACATAACGAACCCTGTTGATGTTGTGACAAACTTAACTAAAGACCCTTAATGACTTTCGAATGAAAATGTAACGGAAACGGACGATGGTCAGAATTAGGTTTCATTGATAAATACACTTCTGGACACATCTATTGGCCCACCTTAGAGTTTAGGTTTCGATAGCCCCTACCGAAATATGATTGCTAGATTGATCAAAAACTGTTGATGCAGTTTTAAACCTGATACATTTTACCATCTTTTTCGATCGTATTGTTTTAAATTTGAATTCAGAATACCATACGACATGGAGCTACGCCTAACAAGTCGGATATGCGCCTTGTTAAAGGCAATTGATTTTTGAATAAAAAACATGTTTTATCAAATAAAGGTTTAATTTAATAACGCGTGTTGCCTCCATGGGCATCTTTCACAGCTCTCATACGATTAGGCATAGAGTTTATCAACCGCTCCATGAAATTTTGAGGGATCATCTCCCATTCCTCTTCTATGGCAGTTTTCAACTCCTGCATCGTCTGGGCAACTGGCTGACGAGCCCTAACACGTCTTTTTAGCTCGTCCCACATGTGCTCAATGGGGTTCATGTCTGGGCTTCTGGCTGGCCAGTCCATAACTGTGATGTTCACATCCCGAAGATATTCCCTGACGATGCCGGCCGCATGGGCTCTTGCATTATCATGCATAAAAAGGAAATTTGGGCCCACATAGTCCGCGTATGGTATCATGTGAGCTTCTAAGCACTCACGAATGTACCTTTCATGCATTTAATGTTGGCAGCCGTGGTCCTGTAACAACCTCAAGTTGAGTTTTGCCACTCGCGGATATACCGCCCCAGACAGTCCATGAGCCACCGCCATAAGCAACCCTCTCTTCAAAGCAGCATTGTGCAAAACGCTCTCCCTTACGTCGGTAGACCTTCTTTCTTCCATCATTGCCATGTAACACAATTTTAGACTCATCAGAAAAGAGTACACGGCTCCAATCTTGCTGTGTCCAATTTAAATGACTGCATGCGAAATGAAGGCGCGCTGTTCGGTGGGCTCGCGTTAGTTTGGGCCCATTAGCTGGCTTGTGTGGTATCATATCGCGTTCTTTTAACCTTCTCCGAACAGTTCGAGCGCTCACAGATACTCCGTGGAAGTCGCGAATTTGTTTTTGTATCTCAATGGAGGTAAGGTGACGATTTCTCAAGCTGGTCGTCACGATGAATCGATCCTGCCTTTCAGTTGTGACCCGAGATCGTGGCCTTCCTTGGCGACGAAAAAAGCCGCCAGTCTCTAGGTACCTCCGATAAACATTTCGGACCGCAGATCGACTTAAATTAAGTTGAGCACTCACGTTTCTTTGGCTGTGTCCGGCCTGAATAAGTGCCACAGCTTGGGCGGCGACTTCAGGTGAAGTATCCATAGATTATTGATAGAACCTCACCTTAATGTTAAGAATAAGTAATGTTTGTTGCAAAACCAAAGATATCAATCGCTTTTTCAAGAATTAAATCCAAGTAAACCAATAAAACCAAGTTTTCTTAGTATTCGATTGTTCGATATCAACAAACAGGCTCCAAATTATCTTTTGTTTCTTTAAATTCTGTGTTCGAAATTCAAAAAAAGACTATTGAATGAAATTGTGAATGTGCCAGGTTCAAAACTGCATAAAAACTTTTTGCTCGACCTAATATAAAATTTTAGCTAGGACCAAACGAAACTGAAAATACAAGGTGGGCCAATAGATGTGTCCAGAAGTGTAGTATCTGCCCTTAACGAAAATACTCATATTTAGATTACCTAAATTAGCTTGTTAACGAAACGGGTTCTACCCGGGTCGGTGCCTGATAACCTTGTTCACGAGCACGATTTCTACGTTTGTTGGCGTCGGTACCCCAAACTGTTATAAGCGCCGGTTTTGATAACATACTTTCATAGTGTACCATTGCTAACTGACGACCGGACGTAGACGAGATTTAAAACCATGGCAAGACCCGACGGAAAACCATCCCGATAGCAAGCGGCCTAAGAATCGTTAAAAAACAACAAGGTCGAATGACAAAAGGACCTTTTAGCAATATTTTAAGATAAGAATGTATATATTTACCTGGCTGCGTCGGCCGTGTTGCTCTGTGATATTAACCCAAAGAGCGAAAGAAATGTGTTTAAATCTAAACAAGAGAAGATTTTGTTCAATTTACAAAGTTTTTTTTTATAATATACAAAATAGTACTAAGTATGTTTATACAGTTTATACCTCTAGAGTTGTTATGATCTAACGGATGTTTTATCTAACTTCATTATAAGAGAAGTTCTGAAGTATCTATACCATCTATGGGGATGAAAATTCGATTGCCACGACCGATATTTTACCAGCTATTTTTAATTTTATATCTATTTTTATCTATGGTTTTTTTGCGAAATATTTGTTTATAAAAAAAATACTGTAACAAAATTGTAAACATTGAAATGGTAACAATTGTTGATAAAAACCAGATTAATAAACAAGTAAGGCATCTACCAAACGTTTAATACTTAACTATTCAGGTATTGTAAACACTAGGCAAAATTAAATATTCTAAACTATAAATTGTTTCTAAAAGTAAATATATGCCTTATTTTAGTAAAAGAAAAAAAAAGAAAAAAAACGATAAGTTGCACTCCGGGAGTGCCGGCAGAAGTGAAAACTTGAATATTAACGTTATGCATTTTTGATATTTTGGAATGGTTAGGGAATAATTTTGCACGAATTGCTTTAATTATCAGTATAAAAGT